GGCTGAAGTAGTTCTAACTATTAGGAGCTACAAAACTCCTGTTGCTAGCATCTGTTGTATTTAAAATAATGGGAAGTATAACATGGGATGAGAAGATTGTTCACAATGTAACCACTAATGTATAAAGTAATGCAGTCATAGATTTGTTCACCTGTTCCCTTTGTCTGAATCAGTTTTCCAGGCACTAACTTAAAAAAAACCCAGCGAAAAACAATCCCATCAATAACTGAGTCATGGAACAGAACTTTAAAAAGTTTTATCTGAAACTTTGAAATGGAAGAGATTTTCAATTTCTAAGCACTCTTCTGTCCCCGCAGTATGTTCATACACATTTGTGATGGATCAATTTTGCCAAAGAGGCTCTTTAAAAATTAAATCAATGGCTATTGCTTGTTCTCAATTCAATTCAAGGACTAAAAGCTCCTGGTGGCTAACTACTGCTTTCTAACCAGCAGAGGGAGAACCAGACATTTTTGTGAGAGTATGAAATCTGTGGTTTGAGCTGAGTTTCTGGTGAATTTAATATTTTTAAAAAGTGAATACCAAGATCCCCCCACACCTCCATCAGATGACATCAGTTTTAGAGCAGGGGAATTCTGGGATTAAAATCTAAATATAATGTTCAGAACAGTTTCAAAACAATGCACATAACCAATCCACAACAGAGATAGTCTGAAATCTCTTCAAGTATTATTATTCACATTTGTCTTTTAACAATGTGAACTACAGAAATAAGGCAGAACTTTAATGTGAGTGAACTACAAGAGGTAACACAGCCCTCCTTAAAGAAAACACCTGAGTAGGTGCTGTATCAGCATACTCCTATGCTTGCTGGTATGTATTGAGTTAAATTGCCTTAGCACTATGGAATTTATAAGTCAACTTGTGCATAACCTTTTAAATGAAATATTATTATTTTGGCCTTAACATTTATTTGTTTAGAAATTTATACTGGCAACATCACCATCTGTGCCCCTTGCTTTATTATTAAAAGCAATCAATTATAGAACTAAGACACCAGCTTTTCAACTAAAAAGGTTAGCAGTTAGCCCACTGCAGCATGCTTTTTAAAAATTTTGCTCCCAAGTGCTGCTACATGAATTCAGCTAAAGCAAGGAAAAAAGGTGTACGCAAACAGATACGCTTTCAGCAGCCCTCAAGTTTAGAATATGTCTCTGGCAGGCCCTTGGAGAGAGAGTTCCCAAAGGCATATGCCCTCTAAGGGCCCCTCTACACAGGCAAAAGCATGATGGGGATCTGTGTGGTTTGCACCTCCCACCATGCCACACATGCATGGCAGGAGGCATGACTGTGGGATCCAGGATCAAGTCTTGTGACATCTTATCTCTGGGATAGGAAGAGCCTGAGATCGCCACCCTGGGCTCCCCCTGGACCAGCAAATAGCAAGCTCCCACAGCTGCAGGTGCCACAGTTGGCGGGACTCTTGGTCATGGATGTGGCCCGTGGCAGCTGGGGGTGAGAGTCCTGGAGCTGACAAGACTCAGCCCTGGTTGTGCCCCATGATTGTAGGGGCTGGGAGTCCCATCAGCTGCGGGGCATTCAGCCCTGGCAGCCACGGGTCACCCCCACAGATGGGAGATCACAGCAGCTGCGGTGCCACAGGCTGCATGTGCAAATTAAAGCTGGATAGAAACCTGCTATAAAGTTATTACATATTTTCCAGCAATAATTTTATAACTGGTTGGACATTTTTAAAATTTTTAATTAATTTGCCTGTGTAGCCAGTCTAAATTAACTGCACAATTAACTATGTAAATGAGTAATAGATGTAACCTGGAGAGGGGACCTAAGACTGAGATCAACTGAACTTTAAAATGGCAAGAGTGGACTCCTATTCCATGATTCATGCTTTTAAAGCAATCTGGAACTCATGCCTAAATATCAGAGTGACTACTGCTCTACAAATACCTTTGATTAAATAAAGGGAACATGGCCATCAGATTATATGTTTTAGAGCAGGGAAATTCCGGGATTAACATCTAAGTACTGTATAATGTTAAATAACTTAGATGGCCATTGACCACCAAGAGTTTGCCCAGGAATAGACAAGAGAATAAAACAGTAGATTATAATTCTTGTAATGGGACTGAGAATATCTTTTAGATAACTGGATCTCAAACAGTTTAGTACTTTACAGATCATACCCAACAGGCTGAATGACCCTCTAAAGCAACACAAAATATGTATGTACAATATATTTCTCAAAAGGCAGGTTGCTGCATATTTGGTATGTCCTAGCTGAAGTTTCTGGATAGCTTATAAGGAGAAACTATTACAATAACCAGCGCTGAAGTTATAAGGGCAAGTTCTGCTGTAGTGCAACATGTAAAAGCTGGAAAAGATGCAGCCTCTGGGCCAAAAGCTCAACATGCCATGCCTGGCAACAGAGAATCTATGAGCAATGCGACCTCCAGGTTGCTAACACTGTTGACAAAGTGAGATGATGATCTGAGGGTTATCTTCATGCCGATAACCCTGCAAGCCAAAACTCCTACCATCAAGCACCCACAGGTATGGATTCTTGCAGAACTCTATGTATAACAGCCTTGATAACAAATTCATACCACCATACTTTAGGATCACTCCAAAAGTCAGGCAGGGCAGGGCAGGGCCTTTCCATGGCTTATCAGGAATTTCTACAAAGCTGAGTAAGTAAATGATATCGTAAATTGCTAAAGATCAGAAATGACACCACCTGCATCCAAATGCAAGTAGGAACATAAATTTTCCCTTGGACGTGAGACCTCTTTTCTTTGAGGCTGTTTAATTACTTTGCTTTATGCACAGGGTGTTAAGGTCTATGTTGTGTCAGGCTTGAGGGTAGCCTACTTATGTAGAGTTTAGCTTATGGTTGTATGGGATGGTTTGGATAGGAATAGTTTCATAGTTGGTGGGGTAGGAAGGGACCTGAGCAGATCATCAAGTCCGACCCCCTGCCATGGCAGGAAAAAGTACTGGGGTCAAACGACCCAGAATGATTTTGCCTCAGGCAGAGGGGTGGACTACATGATCTCTAGAGGTCCCTTCCAGCCCTACTTCTATATGACTTCATGACTTTATAAACTGTTAATTGTAAGCCAAGTGGCAATCCCTCATCTTAGAGATACATTTGTTTCTACGGTTTTATTTCTACAGCTGAGCTAACCCTTCCACCTGACATACCCTGGACTTCCTCAATCTGCATCTTCCAGTGGAGCTATAAAGCCAAGTTCCTTTTATAAGCAAATTAATATTTGAAATTCAAAAACAGAATGACGACACTTTGGCATAGTATGGCATGTCCTGTACATATCATAAACCCAACATTAACTGCAACAGTAGCTAGGCGAGAAGAAAACAAAAGATGAAATGGGAGCAGGAAACATTTTCCTGGGCCTAAGAGCTCAACTGAGGTAATGCCTGCCACAAAACAATAATGATTTGTATATTATTGTTTGATAAAGTAACATTTTCTTTTATTAAACACAGATATAGCCTCAGGCCCTAAATTTTTTGGACATTCATCTTAAAGAATGAACAGAGTATTTGCCTGAAACAATGAAAAACATAAAAAAAATCCATGCAATTCCAATTAAAAAGAGCAGGAACTCAGTTTGACAATTTTAAACAACCTTTTCTTACATACAAGAGTGCAACAAGTATTTGTCTTCCAGACAATCCTCATTTGTCAGTGTAATCCTCAAGATCTGGAGCAAATTCTCTTCCGTACTTTGAATGTGACACTTGGTTCAGCTGGGTGCCCTTGATGAAACTGGTGGGAAATCTTGGTCTAGAGGCCAAGGCTCTAAAAAGTGACAACGTGCTTTTTGGTGCCTCTATTTCTGGGTGCCCAGCTGGAGACCTGGCAGCAGGACCTGACTTTCAGAGGGCAGGGAATATGCTTAGTACTTTCAGTAAAAAAATCAAGTGCCTTTAAGATGTCAAAACAGGCCTTCAGAGAGTAAAATTACAAACTATTTCCAAGCTTTAAAAGGATGCCATTGGTGTGGTCAACTTTGACCATACACCTGTAATTCATAGTAGAGATGCATTGTCTTTTTTTCCTATTCTGAGAAAAGGCCCTTAATCCTACCTATCTGCTTATGGAGGTTTGGCTTGTTTCTTTAGATCTATTATGTGTTTCTTCAAAGTTTCTGATTTTACCCTTCTAGCCCTTATGGTTTCCTCCCCCAACTACTGTTCTTTTAACTCTAGCTCCACATGAGGATCATTGATAAAAGTATGAGGGCTGTGATTCTAAATGCCTAGTCTCTTTCAAATCAGATATTGCTGTTAATAGATATAGCTCCAGAGCCATAGGTCACCTCAATTTTGCCAATAAAAGACTTATTTTCACTGGCTTTAAGGCCTTGAAGCTCACTGTGTGCACTGCAAAAGGGATGCCATTAAGAACAATAAGAGAACGCAAGTCACCATATTCTTTGCTTAGTGTACTGAAAATGATGCTGTACCTCTGACCCTATGCTTAGCTGCAGCACTGCAAGTGTCACTGCCTCCAAGGCCTCAATTGCCATGTTAAATTTGTCCCTGCCTGCATACACAGATGTGAGCAAGTCACCTTAGCCTACTTCTCAATGAGGAAATTAACTATACAGAACAAGATTCTTTCCTCATTGTCTCCATTACATTTACTACCAACAGCTCCAGGAATTTAACCAAGTTTCTTTTAATGACTTCACATGTTATGCTTGAAATTGTTATGAACAGCTATAAAAACTATGTCCCTGCCAAAGTATATAGGGCTTTAGTATGCAGGTATGTACCTCTCTTCGAAGACCCTTAGTTAAATCAGATATTCCCAGAAAAAAAATCTGCTATAGTGAAAACACAACACGAGTTAGAATTAATATTGGAAACCAGAATACATTAAGAACTGCAGAACAGAGTATGAAAGAGTCAGACTAAAATAAAATCCTTAGGCAATGTACAGTGGAGCAATTTGATCCAAAGTTAGGATAAACTGTATGTGCTTTACTTACCATCAAAGTTTTTGTACTGAGAAGTTAGGGTCACCTGTACAGAACGACTGGCTTCTTTCATCATGCCTTCGAATTCACTTCGGCTTTTGTTTGCAAAGTTCTCCTCCATCTCACTGGTACAGCAGGTGTAGCCTTGTGGGCAGATTCTCAGGTGTTCCCCTAAAAACCAATGGAAAACCTTGTTAAAATGACCGGGTCTTAAAAAGGGAATTTAATACCAGACAATCTTAATGTAAAAGTATTCATATGAAAAAGAAAATTCAGTTCTACCCTCACTTATTACGTAACTCAGAACAAAATTAGGCGCAATGTGCTTGACTACTAATGCAATGTATTAGCATAGCAGATACTTGAGATTCTGGCTTTCCTATCACATGTACACGCTCTCTTTTTCTCTTTGAGCCCTGTGAGCATGAAAGCTCCTATTCAAACCCTACGCACATTTCCAGCAGAGGTTAAGGTCTCCAACTAAATTATATGATGCTTAAACTGTCATCATTAGACTTAACACCTCCTGGAGAAAAATTGTGTGAGGCTCCCTTTGCCAGAATTTTGAGGCTGTACATCATTGCTTCTCATTCTGAAGGAGATTCCATAACCATAAAGATGAGACAGAAAAGGGGAGGTTTTCAAAGATTCATAGGGGAGTTTGAAAGCTTAAAAAGTAGGATCAGAGCACCTGAATCCCCCCGTGCCTGTTAAAATCTGTTTACTTCTATGTATACTTCTTGCTAAAACAGACTGGGACCATCAGAAAAATGCTGATCTATCACATCACTGCTAAATAGGTTCACATGCCAGCTCCTTCTCCTACTACAGTGGTTGCCAACCTGTCACTCATGCCTCAAGTGGCAAGGGTAGCCTCTCTGGCTAAGTACAGACAGTCAAAAAGCCTGAGGCTGAATCGATCAAATCTTTGCAGGTTAGTCTAAACTGCATAGATTGAACCAATAAGGAGGGGAAAAGACATTCACTATTGATTCTGGAAATGCAGCCACATGCCTGCAGTACTGCAAGCCAGAAGCTGGGGAGTACTAGAGCATGCCTCCCTGCTCAGCTGAAGCAGACAGATTGAGCCAAGGCTAGCCTGCCCACCCTGTGAGGTGGGGGGAGGTTGGGGGGAGGGGGTGTTACAGGGGAGGTGCAAAACATCCTGGAATGCTGTGGGACTGCGAGTTAGCTTGAATCTGGAGAGAATCTGGGACAGAAGTTCAATAAAACAATTTAACCTAAATCAGTTAAGTCTGATAGTACATCTGTCCAGGTTTATTTTAAACCAGTTTCAGCCAGTTTGAAAGTGGTTTATATGCACTGAACGTCTGTTGTGTTACAGATCTGAACCAGTTTCTGATCACTTATACCAGTTTATGTGTAATTTCTGTCCCTAGCCTTGAGTGGCATGGGGCAAATCAGGGAGGAAGTGGGAAATGGAATGGCAGACACGGCAAGAAAGCAGAAAGTAGAACAGCAGATCAAGCAGGGGAATGGGATTAGAGTGGCACTTGAGAATGGAGTGAAGCATACCTTGTGGCACGCCTGCCAAAAAAGTTGGCCTCCACTCTTATTACCTTGCATTTGAAAACAAAAAAATAACAAAAACAAAAATTCAACCTCACTACTTACTGAGGGGCCAACCAGGGACAGAAATGAGCTACAAGGGAAAAATTCCTCTCTTTAAATTAAAGCATTGCTGATAGCTGGCAGAAAAGACATGGAACTCTGAAGTGCAAGAGAACGCAAACTGTAGCCTGATACACTGGACAAATATCATCGTGGAAGTTCATCCACTGTCTTGTGCAGGCACTTGTCTCTACTGTGGCAAAATAAGTATTTGTTACATTCCAAAAAATTATGCACAGAAAAACTCAGAAATATTCAAAATTAATTACTTAAAAAAAATTAAACTAAATATAACACTATTTGAAACTTCTTTAGAAACATATGCAGGTACTTTGTATGGTTGGGGGTGAGTGTGGGGTGTATGAGTAGGGGAATTTGTGAAGGCGTGTGTGTGGGGTTGACTACAGGTCTGGGGCTTGTGGAGGGTGTGGGTATGGGTGTATGTGGGGTTTGTGGGCAGGTGTGGGGTTTGTGAAGGGATGTGGCAGGCGCATGTGGGGTTTGTGGATGGGTGTGGAGGGGTGAGGTGTGTAGGAGTGTGTCATATATCCCCCTCCACATGGTGTACAGCCTCCGCTTGTGGCACTGCAGGCAGGAGCCATGTGTCATTGGGCCTAACAGGCTCTGTGTCCCCATGTGTGGCTTTCAGCACTCCCACGGGAAGCCACATATGGAGGGAAGCAGGAGCCCGCCTGGTCTAATGACGCACAGCTCCCGATCCTATACCATCGGGCTGACCTAGACCTCCATGTGGGGCTTCTAGCACTCCAGCAGGAAGCCACACATGGAGGCACGCAGTCATGAGCCATCAGGTTGAGCAGATTCCATGCCTTCATGTGTGGCTTCACACTGGAGGGCTGGAAGCCTCATGTGGAGGCACTGAGCCAGCTGGCCTGGCCTGATGAAGTACGGCCCATACTCACCTACAAACCTCACACCCACCCCCACACACCACCCACCCACAAAGCCCATGCCCACCCCATCATGGAGGTGGAGGCATAGAACCCACTATGGCTAAATTATGCAATTATGCACCGTCATGCCTTTTATGCACAAAATTGCGTGGGTGCATAATTCGCTAGGGTTTAATTTGTATAAGCAAGGCTGGCAGAGTTCTTTAATAACTGCTTATTGTTTTTATGATTCCTTCTAAAAAGAGACCTCTACCTGCAACCACACCCTCAAATTCCCCCAACACTGAGAATGCGCTTGAAAAAGATCAAACTTAAAAAAAAACAAAAAAAACCTTGTTCTAACCGTGCACTGAGATAATCCAATTATAGCAAAAGCAACATGTTTAATGTAATTTGATTGTGATTGCCGACAGCTTTGCTGGCAATGTTACAGGATTGCTACCTCAATGTCGCAGTGGATCTAAAACATATACTTAAAATTGTGTCTCATCTCATTTACTTTGTCTGCATTGCAGCCTGATCCTGCAAGTCCTCCAAAATGGAGAATTTCCCTTTAAAAATGAATGACAGCTCCACAGACATAAACCTGACCCAAATGAGACCTTAGGCTACAGGCTCTTCAAAGCAGGGAACATGTCTTACCCTGAAAAACACTATACAGATTTGTGGCACTATAGAAAATGGCTTTTTTGGTGGGCAAGGACAGGTGTGTGTGTGTGTGTGTGTGTGTGCGCGCGCGCGCGCGCGCGCGCGTAAAGAGGCATTATTTCACAATAATAATACGGTAGTCTAAGAGTGATGTTGCAGCCGTGTAGTTCTTAGAAATCCTTGCTCCACCTAGTTTCCAAACCATCACAGCTACATGACTTTTACATTACAATAATGTGGAAGATATTGAAACCCGCTGCTTACAATGGAAAATCCTCAACCTCAAGAAAAGTCACCAGACTACAAAGCAACATCTTCAATATCATCCAAAGAAATACTTGCCTCTCACAATGTCATCTATTATTTGTTGGGCTGTATGCAAGGGATCTTTGCACCTATACAGCATAACCAGTTCTGCAACTGTCTTTGCAAGGGGGGAAAGAACATAATTGTGTCAATGTCTGTCTTCTAGGCTAGGGACAGAAATTACACATAAACTGGTAAAAGTGACTGGAAAATGGTTAAAATCTGTAACACAACAGAAGTCCAGTGCACATAAACCACTTTCAAAATGGCTGAATCCAGTTTAAGATAAACCTGGATGGATATCGTATTAGACTTAACTGATTTAGGTTAAATTGGTTTATTGAACTTCTGTCCCAGATCCCTTCCAGATTCAAGTTAACTCATAGTTCCCCAGCATCCCAGGATGCTTTGCACCTTCCCCACAAACCCCCTCACAGGGTGGGCAGGGTTCTCTTGGCCCAAGCTGTCTGCTCCAGCTCAGCAGGGAAGTGTGCTCTTGCATCTCCTGGCTTCTAGCCTGGGCTATTGCACACATGTGACTGCATTTTCAGAATCAAAATTGAATGTCTGTTCACTTGCTTATTGGTTCAGTTTATGCAGCTTAGACTAACCTGTAAAGATTGAATCGATTCAGCCTCAGGCTTTTTGACGGTCTGTACTTAGCCCTAAGGGTAAAAGACAAACTGTTCAAGGCCTGAACTTAAGGGTGGGATCAATAGGAGCACTTTTCATCAGCTCTAGTAGAAGCATGAGGTTCATGGAGTCTCTGCTTGACTTCTGCCTCTAACCTGCTGCTTCCCATCCTAGACAAGGCCTCTTCTTTAGGCTTTCTGAACCCTCCCACAAAAGACTTGCCAAGCATACTTGTACTTGTTTTCTTGAGCCTTATTTCTTTCTAAGGACCCTCCCCTTGCATATCCTAATGATTATGCATTGCCAATCTCTCTCTCTAACCTACTTGAGATGACTAACTACAGAAAAGCAAGAAAGTTACTTCAAGCAAGACCAGGTAAGACTAAACCCCAGGGCTCAGCCCCTAGTCTCCATCTGAGAGCAGACAAGATAGCACCAGTCAGCTGCAGAAGCTAACACCTGGAGATGGATTTGCATGGAAGGTGATATCTGCTATCCTAAACCATACACTTAAGTTTTGCATCTGCAAAATGCATATTTGTGGACATGCAATTCAAGGGGGAGGGGTGTAGGCTGGCCATCGAAGTACCTCAAGAATAGGAGGACAGTTGCATTTAGTGCAACTGTTCCCACCACCATAAATGTCGCGTGCCTCCCGAGGCTGGGGGGTGGGGCATGGCAAGTTCCTGCAGGCAGCGGTGGCAGTGTCAGTGGTGAAGGTGTGGCAGCGGTGAGCAGGGAGCTCCCGCAGGCAGCCACAGCGGCATCGGCAGCAGGTCGAGCAGGGAGCTCCTGCAGGCGGCCATGGCAATGTTGGTGGCGGGCTGAGTGGGGAGCTGCCACAGGCGGCTGCGACAGTGTCGGTGGCAGGCCGAGCGGGGAGCTCCCGCAGGCAGCCACAGCAATGTTGGTGGGGGGGAGGGGCAAGGTGCCAAGCGGTGAAAAACACAGGGCATAAAGGTGTCCGGTTTCATATCAATAGAGGACAGAGGACCAGAAAACTGAACTATCCTCTATAAAACCGGACGAATGGCCACC